GTTTCCATTCCACAGCTGTAAAAGTTCTTCAACTAATGGCCTTAGGTACACATCAATGTCGTTGCCGGGTTGCTTAGGGCCTTGGATGAGAACTGGCATCATAATGAACTTCCGCTTCATGCACATCCAAGGAGGAAGGTTATACATACATAGAGTCACGGGCCAGGTGCTGTGATTGCTGCTCTGCTCCCCGAAAGGATTAATGCCATCCGCGCTTAAAGCAAACCATACGTTCCTTGGGTCCTTTGCAAACTCATCCCAGTACTTTCTCTCAATTTTTCTCCACTGCGACCCGTCAGCGGGTGCTCTCAACTTCCCGTCTTTCTTACGGTCCTCACTGTGCCATCACATCAACTTGGCATGCTCTCCGTTTCTGAACAGACGTTTCAACCGTGGTATTATAGGAGCATACCACATCACCTTCGCAGGAACCCTCTTCCTGGGAGGCTCGCCGTCAACATCACCAGGGTCATCTCGTCTGATCTTATACCGCAATGCACCGCATACCGGGCATGCGTTCAGATCCTTGTAGGCACCGTGGTAGAGGATGCAGTCATTAGGGCATGCATGTATCTTCTCAACCTCCAATCCTAGAGGGCATACGACCTTCTTTGCTGCGTATGTACTGTCGGGCAATTCGTTATCCTTTAGAAGCTTCTTCTTCATTATTTTTAGTAGCTTCTCAAATCCTTTATCAGGCACAGCATTCTCTGCCTTCCACTGCAGCAATTCGAGTACGGTACCGAGCTTTGTGTTGCCATCTTCGCAATTGGGGTTCAACCCCTTTTTGTGATCCTCTAACATGCGATTGAACTTCAGCTTCTCCTTTTGACTTTCGCATTGTGTCCTTGCATCGACAATGACCCGGCAGAGATCATCATCATCGGGCACATCGTCTGGTTCCTCTTGATCTTCAGCAGCTTCGCCCGTTGCAGCACCATCGTGCACATCGTCTGGTGCATCTTGATGTTCAGTAGCATCACCGTATTCAGGGGGCACATAGTTGTCATCGTACTCTTCTTCCTCGCCGTCTTCCATCATAACCCCTATTTCTCCGTGCCTCGTCCAAACATTATAGTGTGGCATGAAACCCTTGTAAAGCAGGTGGGTGTGAAGGATTTTCCGGTCAGAGTAAGACTTCGTATTCCCACATATAGGGCATGGACAACACATAAAACCATTCTGCTTGTTTGCCTCAGCCACTTCGAGAAAATCATGCACGCCCTTAATGTACTCGGAGGTGTGTCTGTCACCGTACATCCATTGCCGGTTCATCTGCATGCATTATATATAATTAAGTGTGTCAAAAATCATTACAGAACATCATGAATAGATAATTAAGTGACCAAATTAATAGAAGTTCATCATCACATAAAAACCAAAGTAGATACATAGTTCTCATCTAACAACATAAAGCTCTGCAGAGCATCTAAATTAATTAAACCATACATTGAAACTATGTAAAACATTTCAATGCGAAAACAAATGCGATCATAATCGCAACCAAGGTAACAACTGATCCAACGACATAATGATACCAAGCCTCGGTATGAATGGCATATTTTCTAATCTTTCTCATCTTCAAGCGCATTGCATCCATCTTGATCTTGTGATCATCGACGACATCCGCAACATGCAACTCCAATATCATCTTCTCCTCCTTAAGTTTTTTTATTTTTTCCTTCAAGAAATTGTTTTCTTCTTCAACTAAATTTAACCTCTCGACAATAGGGTCGGTTGGAATTTCCGGTTCAACAACCTCCTAGATAAATAAAATCTATGTCACGTTGGTCGGCATAATTTTCATAAACAATAAATGAACCAATAGTTATGAAAAGATAATATATACCACATCCGAATCATAGACAGGACGAGGGCCGACGGGGGCGGATACCAAAACCATCGGCGCACTATATAAGATGCAATAATAAAAGTAAGAAAATAATACAAGTATCTATCTAAACAAACAAGTAATAATATTTTTCCTTTCAGAAAGAAGATAAGAACAAGGGGCTCACCACGGTGGTGCCGGCGATGAGATCGGCGCGGGTGATCGACGGCGGTGAAGACGGGGACGGGGCGTGACGGACCGCTAAACCTAGATAAATATTGAGGAAAATGGAGCTTGGCGGTCGAGCTTGGAGAGGAGAAACCTTAAGTAGTGTGGCTCGGGCATTCCATCGAACACCTTGTGTGCATAGGAGGTGAGCTAGAGCACCACCAAGCCCTCTCCCCCTCGGCCAGAAAAAACAGAGCAGTGTGCTCTGCTCTTGCGCGAGGGGCTATATATAGGCAGCACCATTGGTCCCGGTTGGTGGCATGAACCGGGACTAAAGGTAACCCTTTTGGTCCCGGTTCATGCCACCAACCGGGACCAATAGTGGTGGGCCAGGAGCCAGGACCATTGGTCCCGGTTCGTCCCACCAACCGGGACCAAAAGGTCCGGACGAACCGGGATCAATGGCCCACGTGGCCCGGCCGGCCCCCTGGGCTCACGAACCGGGGCAAATAGCTCCATTGGTCCCGGTTCTGGATTGAACCGGGACTAATGGGCTAAACTGGCCTGGACGAAAGCCCTGTTTTCTACTAGTGCATCTCAACAACGCAAGACTTCCTAAATATAATAGAGCATTCATCAACATTAACTAGCTGGCTAGTGCCTTAGACATATGAGTTAATGACTTGGTGAATCTGTGAGTTTTAATCCACATCCGCTTTGAGGAAAAGTAACATGTCATCTGTAAACAACATGTAAGATATACCTAGAGCACCATGATAAATCTTTAAAGAAGTGATATCACCATCAGAAATTTCCCTTTGCAACAACACCAAGAGCCCATTTGCTACAATCAGAAAACGGAATGCCGATAAAGGGTCCCTTTGTCGGAGGCCACGGGTGGGGTTGAACGAACCCAACAAGGTTCTATTAAATTTGACGGAATAACTCACTGAGGATACGCAAGATAAAATCCATTCGATCCATTGGTGAGAGAAACCTAAAACTTTCATCATATTCTCCAAGAAGTTCCAATTCAGAAGTGGCTTTGTACCCCTTTCCTTCTCAGCGATGGGATGCTTTAATGAGCTACGCTAGCCACTCCGCCCATGTCTTGCTCGTGATGAGAATGAGATGCGTCTTTAGTTGAGGCGAGTGAAGCCGGTATTCCATTTGTTTTCACGTTTTTTCTTTTCGTTTTTTCCTCAGTTTTTTTGTTTTCTTTCTTCTTCTCCACTTATTGTTTAGTTTTCCTTTTCCATCTTTTTGGCTTTCTTTTGTTTTATTTTCTTCTTTGGATTTTTCTTTCTTTTTCATTTTTTCCTTCAAATGCTTGTTCAACATTTTTTCAAATACTTGTTCAGCATTTTCTTAAATACTTGTTCAACATTTTTATATACATGATCAACATTTTTTCAAATGCTTGTTCAACATTTTTAAAATAGTCGTTCGTGAATTTTCATATGTTATTGGAAGAGTGTTTTTTGTAATATATATATTTAGAATATTTTAAAGTATAAGAAAAACTACAAAAATAAAAGGAAAACAGAAAACGTAAAAAAAATATAGAGAATGTGCCTTCCAGCGAACCTGGGCCGGCCCATGTGCTGCTGACTCTCTCTCTGGACGCGAGCGCTCCCCCACCCGCAGCATCAACGAGCTTCCATCCCACGGATCCGCGTGCTCACCCCCGAAACTAGATCCCATCCGTCCATTCTCTACCCATCCAACGCTCCAAACCTCATCTCCCACCTCCAGCCCCCACGCCCACGCCCACCCCGACGCCGCGCGGCTTCTCCCCACGAAAATTCCCGATCCCCCGCCCACGCCCCGCTCCCCTACTTAACCCCCGCCGCCTCCTCCGTCCCATTCCACCCAAACTCAAATCCCTCACCGGCGAAGCATCCACACCTAAACCCTAGCCTCCGGCTCCGATGGCCCGCACGAAGCAGACGGCGCGCAAGTCCACCGGCGGCAAGGCGCCCCGCAAGCAGCTGGCGACCAAGGCGGCGCGCAAGTCGGCCCCGGCCACCGGCGGCGTGAAGAAGCCCCACCGCTTCCGCCCGGGGACCGTCGCGCTCCGGGAGATCCGCAAGTACCAGAAGAGCACGGACCTGCTCATCCGCAAGCTCCCCTTCCAGCGCCTTGTGAGGGAGATCGCGCAGGACTTCAAGACCGACCTCAGGTTCCAGAGCTCTGCCGTCTCCGCCCTGCAGGAGGCCGCCGAGGCGTACCTGGTGGGGCTGTTCGAGGACACCAACCTGTGCGCCATCCACGCCAAGCGCGTCACCATCATGCCCAAGGACATCCAGCTCGCCCGCCGCATCCGTGGGGAGCGCGCCTAGGTTTTCGGTTGCCGACGGTGAAACTGGGTAGTAGCTGCTCGTGTCTGGTGTCTTATGTCTGTTGGTGTTGATATGATGTGTCGTCTTGTCCCATGTAGCCTGATGCTGGAATGAAATGGCAGTGAAAAGTTCAGTTATCATCCGATGCTAATTTTGTCCTCTGTTTGCTGCTTAGTACCTTTGTGATTTTGCTACGGTGTTTTTCTCGGATCTAGCGTGGTGCTGCAGCGATGGGGTCGAGCAATGCCAATTGGTTTTATTATTTTGCCAGTGTTCTGTTATTTTTGATTGGTGGCCATGTGATTCAGTGTTTTTGCCTGTTGTTTGTTCAGGGATCTGATGAACTCTTCGATTGGGCTTTCAGCTCTTCTCGAAGTGATTCTGAATTTTGTTTTGGGCTGGTTGATGTTGATAAGCTGACCGTGAAGATGTGACAGCGGTTAGTTCTCTGTACACCTGATTGCCACTTCATTCAAATTTATGATAACCATCACAGATTTGCTCAATATTTGTGAGCGAAAGCTGAACAGCTTGTACGCTTACACCCTGTCTATAATGTCTAAACACTTGTGCTTGCTGTGCAATTTAGATGCCAGGCAGTGTGTTATCTTCTAAACACTGGTGTTCTCTTTGCCAATTAAGATGCAGTGCAATTCAATCTGGTGGTATGGTACCTGGTCTTGTGAAGCATCTGAAACTGAAAATCCATCAGCGACCATCATCCGTGTGTGGCTGCAGAGGCATTGTATCAGGCAAATGCGGCACTGAGCAGGAGCAAATCTCCTTGGATATCACAAGGTGAAGGCCTTTTTCTGATACAAATGAGCTTTTCCTTATATATTATACAAATGAGCTTCAAATGTTGTGTTAACCCGGAGCCGCATTTACAGAGTTGTGTTTCCTTGTGGTGACTTCTTGCAGGTCTAACATGCACAATTCAAGCTCAGGTGGGTGAAGATCATTTGTGTGTGGCTGCAGAGGGTGCTATACTATCAGGTAAATTTGGGACACCTTGCAAGCAGCACTCACTAGTCAATTTGCAAGACCAATTGACAGTGTCCATCTTCTACCCGTGAGAAGCCAAGAACAGGGATTCCTGCTGTTATGAAACCGTCGTTGTGGCGCCGAGCAGGAGCATATTTCCTTGGATTTCACCAAGGTGACGGCCTCTTCTCTGATACATGAGCTTTGACTTTTCTGCTGTCTGCTGTGCATAACGCTTTTTTGTGCTAGCAGTACGTATATGGTATCCTTAAAAAAAATTAGAGATTCTGTGGACAATCATCTCTTTTTTAGTTCAGTCATCTATTGAGAGTTTTCAGAAACAACCGCCTGTTCATAACTTTACTAACAGTGCATGGATTTCAGTTCTGGGTATAGGTATTGGTTAGTGTAATCAACAGAAGTTGAAAATATTTATTCTCAGTACTACCCATCTTTCCCTTTGCTATATTTGCAATGATGGCTTACAGGTTGCTATGACTTGTTAGTGAGCTATTACAGCTTATTTTGCTGATCCTATACGAGGGCAATAGTGAACCGATTTAGCTTCAGATGTGTGAAAATTGCAATGGGGAAGAGTTTACGTACAACTTTTTTGCACACTAATTCACTTCAAATGTGTGAAAATTAAAGACCGATGCCCAGCACCTCCTGCAGAACAATACTTCTAATGGAATTTATAACTGGATAATCAAGCTCTTGGCACCGTACAAGAGATTCACTACTTGTCATTCTACACATCAAGGGCCATGTTGCGGTTATTGGAGCCAGTTTCATGTATATATATACCAAACAAAACAAGAAAAAACAACAGCAACAATACAACTCAGAACAGAGCATTCAGCTCTGCACGTACTGGTCAATTCCATGGGGGATGATTGCATCAGATTCCATGTAAACAGGCGTCCTGTCTGATCTTCACACACATGTATTGGCAAACCTTTTCTTGACGGGAGTATATGGGCAAGTCTACTTCCTTAAATTTTGATGAACTCTGCTGAATAGTCTGGCCCGCGCACATTCCAATCAGCAGTGTAGTATAAGAGTTGGAGTGCTAAGTGCTAACATTGACCTGCAGAACAGAACTTTTGCGAACCGGATATCACCATGCGGGCAAGCAGCACTAGCACCAGGACTTGCCTGATACAAATGGTCCAACCTAGCTAGTTCCGTATGAAAGAGAAATGGACGCTTAGAAATGGTCACCTTACACACGTCTACGTAGATTGGTACCAAATTCTCTGCAAAATCTCCAATGTACCCAATTCCATCGCCCAACAGAGATAACCCCCCAATATTGCTCCTCAACACTTTGTTCCAGAACCAGGGATTTGGATGAGTTTTCAGCACCCCACCGACAATTTTCGCTCCGAAGAAGGACCCATTTAGCTTCCTCGCAATCACCTTGCCTGCTGCTAGCATCCTTGGGTCCTCCTCGACATCTCTGCTAGCAAACGCGTGCGCCTTGAAGAAGAACCAGTACTCCTGGTGCGGCATGACCTTCAGACTGATCGGCTGCACTCTTCCCATGCTCGCAGCGACGGCCCTGCTGTTTGTGGTGATTATGATCCTGCTTCCACGTTTGCCATGTCTTAAGGTCGGCAGTAACTCTTCTAGCATCTGCTTCTTGCCTGCGTCAACATCTTCAAATACCAATAAAAACCTCTTGGTGAGGCATTTCTCCTCGAGTACATGCAGTGACTCGATGAATTTTCGCACATCTCTAACTGCGTGTTTGGATCCTAGAACAAACGGTGCCTCATCCCAAGCCATTGCTCTGGTGTATGAGAAATTGGAATACAAAATCATTGGAAAGTGGTTGCGCACCCTCTCATCATCGCAGACATGCTGTGCAAGGGTGGTCTTCCCAACTCCCATGTCGCCAACAATGGGAAGCACACCCAGTTTGATGGATAAGTCTGTGTACTAGGGTCCTTGTGGGGCTGCAGCACATGGTCTTTGTGACAGTTAGGAGGATAAAGTTCTGGACCATCAAGGACTGGCTGTTAGGATAGAGTTCTGTTCTTGACCATCAAGGACTGTCAGTTAGCATCTTAGACTAGCATCTTAGACTAGCATCTTAGACTGGCATCTTGGCAGCATCTTAGCATATGCCTTGGCTGGCTAGCAGCCTATAAATATGTATCCCCAACCCCTCGGGTTGGCATGGCATAGTGTGAGAAATAAACCAACGAAAATTGTCCCAACTCTCCTAGTGTCATCCACAACTATCAATGCTCAGGCTGAAAGGTCTAACAAGTGGTATCAGAGCCTTGTTAACCTGCACCCTGAGCATTTCCTGTGAGCAACCCAAGTCGGTAGCAGCAGCTGCTCCGTCTGCCTCTGGTTACCTTCCTCCCTCCGGACTGTCGAGCAGCAGCTCGTCTTCATCAGCCTCCTCTTCACGCAACAGCCCCCCTGCAGCGAGCCATGTCTGTAGGTCGCTCTCAACACACGACTACCTCGAGCATGCGGCGCCGGCAAGAGGCCGAGCGCGCCGTGGCAGAGGAGCGTGAGCGAGCGGCTGTAGCAGCGGCTGCTGCGGCGGCAAGAGTGTCGAGGCTGGCTGTAGCGGAGCTGGCAGTAGCCAGAGCGGAGGTAGAAGCAGCCAGGGCGGAGGTAGAAGCAGCAGCAGCAGCAGAAGCAGCCCGTGACGCTACGGTGGATGCCAAGGCACTCCGCGGCAGCCCCGGCAGCTCCAGCAGCTCCGCGCCTGCGGACGACGGCGCCGACGCAGATTGCGCCAAAGTGGCGCAGTAGCGGACGGCGCAGTGGGCAGCCGAGCACGCCCGCGCTCCAGGTGGAGGCGCGCACCGCGACGGCGGCTGCAACGACCAGGACCGCGGCCTCTACGAGGTCCGGACTGTGGTCAGGGATGTTGGTTCCAGTGTTGGGTGGCCTACCCTCACTAAAACCAACTACGTCGAGTGGGCCGGGATCATGAAGGTCAGGCTCCAGGTGCGGCGCATGTGGGAGGCAGTCCAGGACAGCAACGTATGGTATGGAGGTGAACAGCTGCGGTATCGCACGATGGATGATCTACTCGGCGACCAGCCGGTGCCGGGACTGATGCCACGTGACCTGGAGGCGCAGCTACAACTCGCGTGTGAGGACGGCGAACCACGGTCCTTTGCAGAGGTCGAGAGAGATGCGGCATGGCGCGCCGCGATGCAGTTGGAGATGGATGCGGTCGAGCAAAACCGCACCTGGGAGCTCGCTGACCTCCCCCGTGGTCATCGCGTAATCACCCTTAAGTGGGTGTTCAAGCTGAAGAGGGATGGAGCTGGCGCCATCATCAAGCACAAGGCTCGCCTGGTGGCCCGAGGCTTCTTGCAGCAGGAAGGAGTCGACTTCGACGACGCCTTCGCTCCCGTGGCACGGATGGAGTCCATGCGACTTCTCCTTGCGCTGGCTGCCCAGGAGGGCTGGCGTGTCCACCACATGGACGTTAAGTCGGCATTCCTCAACGGCGACTTGAAGGAGGAAGTCTACGTGCATCAGCCACCTGGGTTTACGATTCCCGGCCAGGAGGGCAAGGTGCTCCGCCTGCGCAAGGCTCTCTATGGCCTGCGGCAGGCACCCAGGGCGTGGAACGCCAAGCTGGACTCCACGCTGAAGAAGATGGGTTTCGAGCAGAGCCCGCATGAGGCTGCCGTCTACCGACGGGGGAGTGGAGGAAATGCCCTGCTGGTGGGCGTCTACGTTGACGACCTGGTGATCACCGGCACCAAAGGTGCAGAGGTGGCGGCATTCAAGGAAGACATGAAGGCCACGTTCCAGATGAGTGACCTGGGGCTCCTCTCCTTCTATCTAGGGATTGAGGTGCACCAGGACCACTCCGGGATCGCGCTTCGACAGTCCGCCTACGCCAAGCGCATCGTTGAGCTAGCTGGGCTCACCGATTGCCATCCAGCTCTCACTCCGATGGAGGAGAGGCTGAAACTGAGCCGCGACAGCACGACGGAGGAAGTGGATGCTACGCATTACCGACGCCTTGTGGGGAGCCTTCGCTACCTCACTCACACACGGCCGGACTTGGCATTCTCCGTCGGCTATGTCAGTCGGTTCATGGAGCGACCAACGTCGGAACACCAGCAGGCAGTGAAGAGGATCGTCCGCTACATAGCAGGGACCCTCGACCACGGCCTCCACTACCCTAGGTGTCCTGGGGCGGCACACTTCGTCGGGTACAGCGACAGCGACCACGCCGGCGACATCGACACCAGCAAGAGCACGAGCGGGATCCTCCTCTTCCTCGGCAAGTGTCTCGTGAGCTGGCAATCAGTCAAGCAGCAGGTGGTGGCCCTGTCCAGCTGTGAGGCTGAGTACATAGCGGCCTCCACCGCCTGTACTCAGGCGCTCTGGCTTGCTCGACTACTTGGTGATCTTCTCGTTCAAGACACCAGAACGGTGCAGCTCCTGGTGGACAGCAAGTCCGCCCTGGCCCTGGCAAAGAACCCCGTGTTCCACGAACGGAGCAAGCACATCCGACTGAGGTATCACTTCATCCGCAACTGTGTGGAAGAAGGGAGCATCGAGGCGAGCTACATCAACACCAAGGATCAGCTCGCAGACCTGCTCACCAAGCCCCTTGGGAGGGTCAAGTTCCTCGAACTTTGCTCCAGGATTGGGATGATTCAACTCTCCCACAAGACGACGTACAAGACTTAGGGGGAGAATGATGGATAAGTCTGTGTACTAGGGTCCTTGTGGGGCTGCAGCACATGGTCCTTGTGACAGTTAGGAGGATAAAGTCCTGGATCATCAAGGACTGGCTGTTAGGATAGAGTTCTGTTCTTGACCATCAAGGACTGTCAGTTAGCGTCTTAGACTAGCATCTTAGACTGGCATCTTGGCAGCATCTTAGCATATGCCTTGGCTGGCTAGCAGCCTATAAATATGTATCCCCAACCCCTCGGGTTGGCATGGCATAGTGTGAGAAATAAACCAACGAAAATTGTCCCAACTCTCCTAGTGTCATCCACAACTATCAATGCTCAGGCTGAAAGGTCTAACACAGTTTTCCTCCGATTGACGGACCACCATCATGCAGTAGGAAGTTGATGATCCTCTCTTTCTTGACATGTCGCCCGAACATCTGCCCCTCGACGAAGATATTAGTAGCCAAAGGACGATGGATCGGTTGACAGTTTTGTAGGAGCATCAGGAACTCCTTGAGATCACCGGATATGGTTTCCAAGATCTCTACCACTCGATCTATCGCCTCAGGAACACCAATATCATGGCCAGACAGTAATCTCTTCATGGCACAGGCTGCTACGCGCACGCGCTTTGCAGGATTAAACAAGGAGAAAGAGAAAGGTTGTGCAACTACCTTGTCAGCATGCTCATCTTCAAGCTCCCGCTCTCTGCATCTGACCGTGTCGAGCAAGTAGCGGCCCTGGTACACTGTGTCGTTGAGCTCCGAAAGCCACTCGAGGGTGCCATAGTTTGTGATCTGCCTCCCTTTGGCCTCCTCTACTGCACTATAAACTTTGACGAGCACATGGCAAATCTTGCGTAGTTTGGCTTCGGAACACTGTTGGTCCTTGAACTGGCCGGCAAGAAGAGATATCACCATGCCAACCATGTCTCCGACAACCGCCGAGAAGATGACCTCCGCCATGATAAATTCCTCTAGCAACTTTGTGATGCTCGCAAGTTTCCTGGTACCCCAGCCTTTCTATCAATTTCAAGTTTCTGATATTTAAATATTAGCATGAGAGCGACATGGAAGACTTCAGTGCTTTGACTCCATATTGCACTGCAAGTCTATAACACGTGTTTTCCTTCTATGAAAGAAACTGTTATTGTGGTTATATTTTAAGTATTGCAGTGACATGGCAGAGCAAAAAGCAACAGACTAATTTTCTGTTGGCCATTACTTATTGGTTGTACAGTACTCCCTCTGTAAACTTTTATAAGATCTTTTGATCTAAAAGATATTATAAAAGTTTACAAAGGGAGTGCTAAATATGAAAATATATTCTGAGTTTGTCTGATGACTAATGCTGTGAATGCCTAGCCCTTGTCTTAGACCATCAACATCCCTAGAAGCCAAGGAGGTACTGCAGTGCAGTTGCCATAGCCTAATCACTGGTGCTTGCAGTGCAGTTGACCTGACAATTGTGTGGTCATCTTCCATAGCCACATTTGTAGAATTGGGTTTCCTTGCGATGATTTCTTACATGTTTAACAGTTAGAGTGCAATTCAAGCTCAGGTGGTGTGGCATCTGGTATTGTGAAGTGTCTGAAAGTGAAAACCCATCAGTGAAGACCGTCTGTGTGCTGCTGCAGCAAGTGCTCTTATTTCAGGTAAATTTAGGACACCCTCATCCTTGACAATTTGCAAGACCAATTGACAGTCCATCTTCTGCCTGTGGGAAGCCAGAACGGGAGGAGCTTCCAGGCAGGAAGAGGAGGAGATGAGGGGGGTTCCTGCTCTGCTGAAACCATCGCCGGGCGAATACCGCAGCGAGCAGGAGCATATTTCCTCATATATCACCAAGGTGAATGCCTCTTCTCTGATACATATGAGCTTTGCCTCCATGCCTTGTCTGATGCCCCACAAGTGTTTCTATTTATCTTTCTGATAAAGGCAACAATTGTTTCTATGCACAAGCAGTTGTATTATGGAGATATACGGCGTACAATCATCTCTTTTTGCAACAATTGCATCTATGGAAGTTTTCAGAAACCTTTTCTTGTCCATAACTTCACTGCAAGTGGATGGTTTTGGGTCCCGGGTATGGTATTGGCTAGTCTAATCAACAGGAAGTTGAATATATACTTTTCTCAGTGTTATCCATCTTTCCCTTGCCATATTTTTGCGACGATGGCTTATAGGCTGGTATGACTTCTTAGTGATGACATATTCTGCTAGTGCTGATACAGCTTATTGTGCTGACCCTATAAATGGTTGACCGATTTAGCTTCAACCAACTTTCTTTGTTGATTTTGAAATGTCTGTACATCTCGTCAAATGTTTGAAAACTAAAGACCAATGCCCAAGCACTTCTAGAACGACCACTTCTCCAGAGCTGCCCGGGTCAACCTAAACCCAAAACCATATGCGCCTAGAATACTCGGTGAGTGGATGGCAGGACCCGGCCAATCCTGAGAGAAGGTCGTCTAGAAAGTACCAGAAACAACCTAATCAATCTGCCGGCAAAGCTCACAATGGAACTTCCAACCCGATTTTCATGATTAGTTCCCAAGTGTTCTCCCGCAGAACACTAGTCTGGATAATCAAGCTCCTGTCACAGCTCTGGGAACCGCATAAGAGACTCGCTACTTTTCATTCCACACATCAAGGGCAGGTTACAGTTATCCGAGCTAGCTTCATGTACATACCGGGGAGGCAACACAAGCAAGCTAAGAATACAGAAATAAACAAGAACTAGTACAATGCAACTCAAAACAGAGTATTCTACAATTTGTCAATTCCATGTAAATAGGCATAATTCCTGTCTGATCTTCACACACATATATTACTGATATTAGGAAATCTTTTCTTGATGGGAGTAAGAGTAAGATGGGCTAATCTACTTCTTTCAAGTTTGATGAACTCTGGTGAATAGTTCGGCCCGCGGACACTGCAATGAGCAGTGTAGTACAATAATTGGAAGGGCAACACTGACCTGCACAACAAGACTCTTGCAAACCCGTTATCACCACGCGAGGCAACAACACCAGCACTAGGACTTGCCTGATATACCAACCTAGCCAGCTCCGTCTGAGAGGGATATGGACTCTTAGAAATGGTCACCTTACACATGTCTGCGCCGATTGGTAGCAAATTCTCTGTCAAATCTGCAATGTACTCAATTCCATCACCCAACAGAGATAACCCCCCTATATTGCTTCTCAGCACCCTGCGCCAGAACTGAGGATTCGGATGAGCCTTCAGCACCCCGCCGATGATTTTCGCTCCGAAGAAGGATCCATTTAGCTTCCTTGCAATCGCTTTGCCTTCTGCTAGCATCCTTGGGTCCTCCTCGACATCTCTGCCGGCAAACGCGTGCGCTTTGAAGAAGAACCAATACTCCTGGTGTGGCATAACCTTCAGACTGATGGGCTGCACCGTTCCCATGCTCGCCGCAATGGCCCTGCTGTTTGTGGTGATTATGATCCTGCTTCCATGTTTTCCATGTCTTAAGATCAACAATATCTCTTCTAGCAACTGCTGCTTGTCCGCGTCAACATCTTCAAATACCATCAAGAACCTCTTGGTGAAGTATTTCTGCTTGAGTACATGCAGTGACTCGATGAATTCTTTAGCATCTTTAACTGTGTGTCTGGATCCTAGAACTAACGCTGCCTCACCCCTTGCCATTGCCCTGGTGTATGAGAGATTGGAATATAAGATTATTGGAAAGTGGCTGCGCACCCTCTCGTCATCGCAGACATGCTGCGCAAGGGTGGTCTTCCCGACTCCTATGTCGCCGACGATGGGAAGCACACCCACTTTTTCTCCAGTTGACGGACCACCATCGTGCAACAGGAAGTTGATGATCCTCTCTTTGTCGATGTGTCTGCCGAACATCTGCCCCTCGACAAAGATATTAGTAGCCAAAGGACGATGGATGGGCTGGCAGTTGTGTAGGAGCATCATGAACTCCTTGAGATCAGTAGATACGGTTTCCAAGATCTCTACCACTCTATCTATGTCCTCACCAACACCAACATCATGGCGAGACAATAGGCTCTTCACGGCACACGCCGCTACGCGCACGCGCTTTGCAGGATTAAGCAAGGATAAAGAGAAAGGCTGTCCCACTACCTTGTCAGCATGCTCATCTTCAAGCTCCTGATCTCTGCACCGGACCGTGTCGAGCAAGTAGTGGCCCTGGTACACACCGTCGTTGAGCTCCGAGAGCCACTCGAGGGTGCCGCAGTTTGTGATCTGCCTCCCTTTGGCCTCCTCTACTGCACTGTGAACCTTGACAAGCATATGGCAAATCCTCCGTAGCTTGGCGTCTGTGCACCCTTGGCCCTTGAACTGGCCGGCAAGAAGAGATATCACCCTGCCGACCATGTCCCCGACAACCGCCGAGAAGATGAGCTCCGCCATGATAAAATCCTCTTGCTTTTGCTTGGATGTGATAGCAATTCTATGGTTCTGAATGAAATCAGAAGTCTGGGTGAGCACCAATGGTGTGTGTGGTGGAGATATACAAGTAGTAGCATGAGAGCGACACGAGAGACTTCAGTGCTGCGAGTCCATATTACACTGCAAGTCTACAACCCGAGTTTTGCCTCTATTGAAGGGACCGTTGATTGAGATTGCACGACATTAACAGGAACAAATTTTCCTTTTGCCATCACTCATTGGTTTTACAGTACTGGAGTAGAAAAGTATTCTTTTTTGAATGGTCAGAGAAGTATATTCTGAGTTTGTCTGGTGCCTAGTGCAGGAAATGGTCCAATATTATCCTTACAGGTACCAAAAATGAAGGGGTTTTGTTTTGAGAGCTAGTCCTTGCCTTGGAGCATCCGCATCTAGTGTCTATATTGGAGCTTCCACATCTATGGCCTAATCACTAGTGCTTGCACTGCAGTTTGACATGTCCACAGTGTTGTGTCATGTACTCCCTCCGTCCGGAAATACTTGTCATCAAAATGGATAAAAGGAGATGCATCTAGATGTATTTTAGTTCTAGATACGTCTCTTTTTATCCATTTTGATGACAAGTATTTTCGGATGGAGGGAGTACTTGTTTTCCATAGCCACTTATGCGGAATTAGATTTTCTTGCAGTTATTTCTTACAGATTTAACACATGCAGTACATATAACTCAAGCTCAGGTGGTGTGGCATATGGTCTTGTGAAGCAGTATCTGAAACTGAAAATCCATCAGTGTGCGACCGCAGGGTGCTATTCTATCAGGTAAATTTAGGACACCCTCATGGCCGCCTCATCCTTGACAATTTGGAAGACCAATTGACAGTGTCCATCTTCCACCCGTGAGAAGCCAGAATGGAAGATCTTCCAGGCAGGAAAAGAAGGAGAGGAAAGGGATTCCTGCTCTGCTCTACTGAAACTATTGCCGGGCGAATGCGGCAACAAAAACAGGAACACACTGCCTCTGTCCTCTGATACCACCAAGGTGAACTTCCGGTATCCATTTTTGTCGGTCCTTGCTGTGCAACAAGTGCTTCCCTGCACTAGCAGCCTATATAGAGAGATATAGTGTGGACAATCGGTTCTCTTTCAGTTCAGGCATCTTTACAGAAACCATTTCCTCCGCATAACTTTACTAGCAGAGCATGTGTTTGGTTCGGATAATCGGATCCGGCCCTGGTGTAGTGGTATTGTCTAATCATCTTTCTCAACATATCCATCTTTGTAACGGTGCCTTACAGGTCGCTATGATGACTTGTTAGTGTTCAGAGCACATTCTGCCAGTGCTGTTACAGCCTATTGTGCTGATCCATCATGAGAGAGAGCACATTCTGCTACTGCCGTTGCACCTTGTTGTGCTAATCCTATATGAGAGCAACCAACTTATTTTGTCTACGTTGCGTCGGAAAATAGTTTATGTACATCTTTTGTACACATGAATGCGGCACCGAGCAGGACGGGAGCATACTTCCTCGGATATCACCAAGGTGAAGGCCTCTCATCAGATATCCACCATTCCATTGCTATACTTTGCAACGATGGCTAGCTTATACTGTACTTACTAGGTTGCTATATGACTTGTTGTGGATAAGAGCATGTTCGGCTAGTGCTGTTACAGATCATCGTTGTACACTTGTACTAATCCTACATATATTTGCTTCAACTCGATCCTGACACGCACAGGGCACCCACTCGTACTGCATCTGCGCGCGTGGGGAGTCTGAAAGCGAGCGAATATGGCCCGTGGAGATGACAGCGGCGGCGGCCAGACGACGCGTGAACCACCGCCGCCCGCCGTCGCTGTTGGGCACCGCGGCGCCCGTGACCGGCCAGCAGAACGTCCGCTCTGCCCCGCCGCTGACCTTGCCCAAAGCAGTATAAAACCGGCGCCACCTCCTGTGCCGTGCTATGCTCTGCTCCGCCGCCGCGCGCACCGGCCGCACGAACCATGCCCGTCTCACTGCACTAACCGTCGCGCGCCTTCACATCTCGACCAAGAAGCAGAGCACCCGCAGCCAGCACCATGGCGAGTCGGACTGCCGTGTCCGCCGTCGCCGTGGCCCTCTATGGGGCGCCGCTCCCCTGAATCTTGACTGCAGTGAGATACCTGTCGCTCGTCTTTTTAACCCTCTAGAGAAAGTTCATGCTGATAATGATATAATCTCCATGCTCCCCACCAAGGAGCTCATCCGCATAGGATACTTCAGAACTCGGTGACGTGGACAACCAGCCTTGTTCTTCCCCTATACTAATACTAAAAAACTAATGAATTTTGTAGGGATTAGCGGCATTGGTACCCTTTAAGAAGAAAGAAAATAAAAATAATCTTAAATAAACAATGACAAAATTTGCACAAATTAACACAAAAACTGCACTATTTTATAATATGCAAAATTTAGCATATAATAGCGGGATTTTAGCAAAAAAAAAGTTTCCTAAGAAGGAGTGAATAAGTGACATTTTGTATTACCCTAAAAATAAAAAAAAAGAAGAAAATAGTCAAAATGATGAAATTTTGTAAGGAAAATGAGTAAGTAGCACTTGTATTACCCTGAAAACAAATAAAATGAGATAACATAATAAAAAATAAAAAATGAAGTTTTCTAAGAAAGAATGAATTAGTGGCATTGATATTACCCTTTGAGAAGAAAGAAAATGAAAAAAAAGAATGACAAATTTTGCACATAATTTACACGGAAATTATGCTCTTTTATAATATGGAAGAATAAGCATATAATAGTGAAATTTTCACAAAAGGAAGTTTCCTAAGAAGGAATGAATTAGTGGCATTGGCATTACCATTAAGAAAAAGCAAAAATGAAATAAAAACTAGAAAAAACAAAATTATGAAGTTAAGAAAAAATGAACTAGCGGCTTTGGTATTACCCTTTAAGAAGAAATAAAATAAAATAAAAACTGAAGCAAAATGAACGTAATAATGTTTCTAAGGAAGAATGAATTAGTGGCATTGGTTTTACCCTTTGAAAAGAAAGATATTGTAAAAAATAAATTGAGCAATGACAATTTGCACGCGCGCGCGCACACAGACAAATGCATTTTTTAAAAATATGCAAGAATAAGCGTATGACAGCGGAATTTACGCGTAATACCATATAAGAAGGAATGGATTAGTGTCATTGGTATTGCACTTAAATAAGGAAAAGAAAAAGTAAAGCGGAACCAAAATAGCGAGGTTTTATAAGGAAAAAATAAATAAATCAATGGCATTTGTATTACCCTTTAAAATCAATAAAAATTGAAAGAAATCGAAATAACGAGGTTTTACAAGGAAGAATGAATTGGTGACGTTGATATTACTCTTCAAGAAGAAAGAAAGAAAGAAAAATTGTAAACAATCAATTAATTTACACACCTTGTAGTCAATGTACACGTCACGCGCCTTATCGTCCACCGCGCGTCGGTCCATCCCCGCTCCCACCGTCTACCTGACACGCACAGGGCACCGACTCCTGCGGCACGTATCCGCCCGCGCGCGGGAGCTCTGAAAGCGAGCGAGAGTATATATGGCCCGTGCAAAAGACAGCGACGGCGGCCACACGACGCGTGAACCACCGCCTCCGCTGCTCACGTGAGCATGAGTGCACGCTTGCCCATGCCCAGCAAGGAAAGCCGCGCTCGCTCCCTCGGTTATGGCAACGGAGCGATAATCCCGTCGTCGTCACGGGGACGCGTCGCCACTCGGCGCTCGCGCATCCGCAAAACGTTTGCCCCCCGCCCAGAGACGAGCATCGAACGAGCGCACTATAAAAGCCCACCTCGCCGTGCCGTGCTCGCCTGGCCGCCGCGCAAACCGAACCGACCGCACTAACCATACCCGTCTCGCTCCACTGGCCTCCTCGTCCTCGTCTCTCCCGGGAAGCAGAGCGCCGTCGATCATGGCGGGCCGGGCTGCCATGTCCGCCGCCGTGGCGCTGCTGGCGGCCGCGGACTCGTGGCTGTACGAGGAGTTCGCCACGGAGGGCAACGTGCGCGTGGGCTACGACGCGCGGGGGCAGCAGGTGGCGTCGCTCCTCCTCGACCGCCAGTCCGGCGCTGCCTTCCGCTCCCGGCAAAGCTACCTCTACGGCCAGTTCAGCGTCCAGATCAAGCTCGTCCCCGGCAATTCCGCCGGCACCGTCGCCTCCTTCTACGTACGTATTCCATTCCCGCTCAAATCGAGCACAGAGCATATAGATTTCTGATGCCATTGCTGTGCAGCTGTCGTCGGGCGACGGCCCCGGGCACGACGAGATCGACATGGAGTTCATGGGCAACAGCACGGGGCAGCCGGTGGCGCTCAACACCAACGTGTGGGCCAACGGCGACGGCAAGAAGGAGCAGCAGTTCTACCTCTGGTTCGACCCGGCCGCCGACTACCACACCTACACCATCATCTGGAACGACAGGAACATCATCTTCAAGGTGGACGACCTCTTCCTCCGCTGCTTCACCCGTCACGCCTACCTGCCCTACCCGGGCGCCAAGCCCATGGCGGTGCACGCCACGCTCTGGGACGGCAGCTACTGGGCGACGGAGCAGGGCAGGGTGAAGGTGGACTGGTCCGCCGCGCCCTTCGTCGTCTCCTACCGCGGCTACCTCGCCGACGCCTGCGTGCCCGCCGGCGACGGCTGCCCGCTCTCCTGCCCCGCCGGCACCGACCGCTGGATGAGGCGGCAGCCCAGCGCGGCCGAGCAGGGCACCGTCGCCTGGGCCAGGAGGAACTACATGCACTACGACTACTGCCAGGACGGCTGGCGGTTCCCGCAGGGATTCCCCGCCGAATGCTCCCGCGGCTGATGACCGACTGATTCGTCGCCGTCGTCCCTGCGTGCTCATTGTTGTTCTGATTGGCCTGTGGTTTCTTGGTTCACCTCTGATATCCTCTGATCTGATCTGCCATTTTGCCTCACATT